ACTTGGTCTTTTGTGTCCAATTTCTTTCACTTACATAACATTTTTGAGGTTCATTTGAATTATAGTATATGGTTGATTTGTTTTTATTGGTGAATAGTGTTCCAGCTTCATGTATTTTTGAGGCTCTGTCAAGAAGTGCTTTCATTTTTTACTATTTTTTTAGTAAATAGACCCAATTAGGAAGTATCTTTTTTTTTTAATCCTCACCAGAGGACATTTTTCCATTTTTTGTTCAGATAGAGTGGGAGGGAGAGAGTGGAAGAGAAAGAGAGAGAAACATCGACGTGAAAGGGACACATCCAGTGGCTGCCACCCGCACGACCAACCAGGGCCGGGGACAAACTGCAACCGAGGTACGTGCCCTTAGTGGGAACCGAACCCGGGTCTCTCTGTACCGCAGGCCGACGCTCTAACCGCTGAGCCAAACCGGCCAGGGTGGAAGTATCCTTTTTTATTTCTCATAATAATTTTTTCTAAAATCTATTTTATCTGATATTAATATAACCCTCTCTACAACTTACGTTAACTCTGCAAAGTATATCTTTTTCCATCCATTTACTTTCAATTTTCTGTGTCTTTATATTTAAAGTTTAGCTATTATGGACAGCATATAACTGGTCTTGCTTTATTTTAAGAAAAAATCCATTTTTCATTGCAACACTAGTTGCAGTGTTTATTGTACTCATGTTTAATATAATTATTGCTGCAGTGAGGTTTGGGGTTCCTGTTTTATTATTTGTTTTCTATTTATTCCCCCTCTGTTTTTGTTGCTGTGTTTGTCCTCTACCTTTTAAAAAATATTATTTGAATATTTATGTTGCTCATTTAGTGGTTGCTCTAGAGATTACAATATACACTCTTCACTTTTTACAGTTAATATTACTGTTTCACATAAAACAGAGAGAGCTTATAATTGTCTATATACATGTTCCATCTGTCCCCACCTTGCCTTGTCCTTTATTCTAAAGCTGTTGTATGTACTACTTTTATATATATTATAAACCCCAGAGGACAATGTCTTAATTACCATTCTTGATGTTCTTCAGTCTTTCTAGAGGATCTGGATTTCTGTTTGGTATTGTTTTGCTTTGGCTTGCAGAACTACCTTGAATCTTTTGTGTAATGCAGTTCTGTTAATAATGGATTCTCTTCATTTTGCTTTCATTCTCTAAGGATATATTCATGGGATATAACAATTCTGCATTGATAGTTTTGTTCTTTTAGCACATTAAAGAGGTTGTTCAACTGTCTTGTGACCTCCGTGATTTCTGATGAGAGAGCAGCTTCCAATAGAATCATTCTCTTATAATGTGTCATTTTTCTCTAGATGTTTTTAAGATTTGCTTTTTACTTTTGGCTTTTAACAGTTTGACTATGATGTGCTTTGGCTGGTCCTCTTTGTATTTATCCTACTTGGTGTTTGTTGAGTATCTTGAAATCTATAAATGTTTATCTTCCACCAAATTTAGGAAATATTCATCTATTTTCTGCCCTATTCTCTTTCCTCTCCTTCTGGGACTCTAATTACATGTATAGTATTATTTAACATGTCTCTGAGTATCTGTTAATTTTTATTTAAGTATTTTTTTTTTATTCTTTCATTGGATAATTTCTGTTGATATGTCTTCAAGTCCACTTGCTCTTTCCTCTGTCATCCCCAGTTTACTGTTAAGTTCATCCAGTGTATTATTAATTTTTCAATTTTGGAATTTCCATTTGATTCTTTTTTTTTTTAATAGTGTTTCTATTTCTCTGCTGAGATTTATTTTTTGGTTCATTGTGAGTATATTGTAGTTTATTGAAGATAGTGTATCTTCTTTAAAATCCTTGTTTGCCAATTTCAACATCTGGGTCATCCCAGGATTGGCCTAAGTTGTTTTATTTTAGAGATGTCTCCAAGTTCCTGGTTCTTAGCATATTGTATGTTTGGATTGTATCTAGAATACTGAGAATGTTAAGTTTGAGACTCTGGGCCAGGCAGGCAGAGTTGAGGATACCTCTTAGATTGTTGACTTTTAGTCCAGTGGACATGGTTTCCTAGATTCGGTTTTCTGTCTCCTAGACCAGAAAAACTGCATTCAACTCCCCACCCCCACCCCCAACCCCGGACCCCCAGTGAAAGACTATAAAAACATGAACTCATTTTGGTCAGCTCTCTTCCTCCAAGTGTGGACTCCACATTTGCCTGTTTGTGTTCACTCTCTAATGCTTCCAGGTAGCTGCATTTAGTTTATAGTTATCTGAGTTTATAGTTTTGTGGAGGAGAGTTGGAATGCCAGGATCTTAGTCATTACTAAAGTTAGTCTTCTGAACTTTCATTTTAGTATGGGGGAAACAGACAATAAACAAATAAAAATAAAATATTTATAATGTTAAATACAGTAAGTTCTCATGTAACATCTATAGGCACCATGACTTGAAGCAACACAGTGTATAATGAAACCAGTTTTACCATTGGCTAATTGATATAAATAAGAGTTAAAATCCTATGGCATCTCATCAATGTTATATTGAATGTTGAACGAAACCACATTATTATAAGGACCTGTTGTAGTTGTACTGGTTATCTGTTGCTTTGTTACAAACCACCTCAAAAGTCTAAGACCTAAATCAATTATGATTTATTATTATAATTCATGCAGCTATGGACTTGGCTGAACTTGTGTTTTATATTTCATCTGGCTCACTCGTGTATTTGCAGGCCCAGCTGGGGCTTGGCTCTAGGCTGGGCTTGGCTGAGTACCTCCGTGAGAACAGCTTCACTCCATGGGTCTTGTCGTTTTCCTGGGAAGTGGGCTAGCCTGGGCCAGTCCGTCTCATGGTGATGACAGAAGGGCAAGAGAGCAATTCCACAAATGCTTATTCAGGCCCCTGCTTATAACACATCTTCTAACATTCCACTGGCCAAAGCAAGTGGGGAACTCAGAATCAAGGGTGGGGAAACACACCTCTTGATAAGAAGATCTGTAAAGTCAAATGGCAAAGAAGCTAGTATAGGCAGTGGTGAACATTGGGGACCTTTCATGCATTCTACCATAGCAGTAATAAGCCATAAAGCCTTGGCCAGTGTGGCTCAGCAGTTAGAGCGTTGGCTTGCATACCGGCGGGACATGAGTTCTATTCCCAGATCAAGGGCACATATCCCCTGCGCCAGTCTGTGCGGGTGCAGGAGGCAGCCAATCATTGTCTCTCTTACACTGATGTTTCTCTCTCTCTCTCCCCATCTGCCTCCCTTCCACTCTCTTTAAAACAAAAAATCAAAGGAAAAAATATCCTCTGGTGAGGATTAACAAAAATAAATAAATAAATAATAAGCCATAAAAAAGTTAAATTAGGATGATAGAGACAAGGGTGTGTGTGTAAATATACAGGTATGGGCAAAAGTAGGTTTATAGTTCATATAGAAAATAATATAGTAATAAATAATAATATAAGAATAAACCCCGTGATTTATGTACTCACAGTTATAAACCTACTTTTGTCCATCACTGCATATAGGCCTTTTTTTTTTTTTTTACAAAATTGGAATTTATTTACATAATTGTATAGTCAACTTTTTAATTTAATATGCTACCCATAATGTAGGGTAAACTGTTTCCAACTTTTTGACCATTTTAGGCCATTTAAAATTTTTTACCCCTCCATGACTTGCTGAGTGCTCACTTTTTAAATTTTTTAATCTTTTTTATTGATTTTGTTTGTTTGTTTGTTTGTTTTGAGAGGAAGGGGGAGAGAGATAGAAACATCGATCATCTGCCTCCTGCACACCCCTTACCAGGGATCGAGCCCACAAACCTGGCATGTGCCCTGACCGGGAATCGAACCGGGACCTCTCAGTCCATGGGACGACGTCATTCCACTGAGCCACACCAGCTGGGCTGGTGCTTACTTCTTAAAGCACTTTACATGTATTATTTATATCATCCTTAAAACAGCCTTGTGAAATAAATGCTCTTACTGTCCTCACTTTACAGGTGAAGAAGCTGAGGTTCAGGAGGCTAAGTAACTGGCCATAAGTCATCCACTTTCTAAGGGGCAGAGATAGGATATGGAGCTGGGCAGTGCCTCAATACACATTCATGTATATACTTATAAAAGTATAAAAGATTGCATTCCTATCTCTGAATATTTCTTTAGATCATTTCCAAGCAGTGGAGTGTTGGGTCACAGGGTAATTGTCACACTTAAAGGAGGAGTTTTTTCATTTTGTTGCCAGTTGACTGAGCACCTCAAGGTTGTTGCAGGAATAATTTTTTCCTTGCACTCCAAGACAGTAAAATACTAGGCTTGCTGGTGAAAACTGCTGGAATAGAAACACTTACTGGGTGAGCTTCAATAAGTAGGAGACCCAGAATTGGTGCATGTGATCTATGGAGGGCTGAGAAATAGCCCAGGTCAGCAAGCCCGCTCTGCTGAGAGTGGTCTGCAGTACAGTGGGCCTGTGGAGTCAAGGCTGCAGGCCAGCTCCAGGTCCAGTTGTCACAGACAGCGCAGGCCTCTGCAAATGATGCCCACTTCTGGTATCAGAGGACAGCTGCAGGTGCAGCTCGTGGGCCTCCCAGCCCACTGCACACTAGGCTTCCTGGCCCCTCATGCGATCTGAATGACCAGGCACAGCAGGAACGGAGTGATTTTAGGAGACTGGCAGAAGATGCAGACAACTTCGTGAAAGGGTGATACCCAGGGTAGTAGGTTTTCTGTCTCCTGTCTGAGTTATGTGGGTATCTCTCTGATACTTCCTACTTGGGAATAGTGGAGGAAATGAATGGAGAGGAAGATAAATCTGTTTGAGTTTTCATTATTAAAAGTTCTGAGTCAAAGCTGGGATAGAGAGATGATTAAATTAAAAATTTGGGATTTTCTGTAGATTGGGTTGTTTTCAGGGTGAATATGCAAGGCCACCTTTTACTGCAGTTAAGGGTTATCTCTGTAAGTGTTCGAGGTACTGTGTCTGTTGTGTATTTTGTGCCTAATAACTTTTTTTTCTCTTTTTGCTTCAGGTTAGTAGTAAAGATGAAGATTTTCTTGATCTGTCTGTCGATGTGGAACAGAATACATCTATTACCCACTGCCTAAGGTAACCTCGTGAATTTGACTGTGGCCTGAACTTTTAATCAGGCTAGTAAATAGTGGGGGGAAATACCCTGTGTTTCTTCAGGAAATAATCTTTCTTTCTGTTAAACCAATGTAATCCTGTTTGCTATTTCTTCTTCTCCAAGAGAGATTAAAAACTAAGTATATGTGGTCTGGAGGAGAGTCCTGCCCAGAAGAGAGAGGATCAAGTGAAAGCCATTAGTCATTAAGTTTGAAAATAAGTTTTTAATCCTGAATTCAGATGTATTAAAGAGGCTTCTCTCTCACACATATACACAATTACACAGGTTAATAAATGCTATAGACGCCTGCCATTCCTTTCTTTTTCTGTGTTAGCTGAGAACCAGTGAGGACATTACCTTTTCCTCCACCTTCCAGCATTGTACGGAAACCATTCATGGGGAAAACTCGATAGGGTTGAGTGGAGGGGAGGAGCCGGAGTGTAAGCAGTGCATGCCCGGGTATTGCATATTTAAATTGTGCTCAAAGGTGATATAGAGACATGGTTTCCTTTTCCCGTCTTCACTCTCCTCTTTTCAACAAGAGGTATGAGTATTTATAACTAGCCGGGCCCTGTTCTGGACACTGGAAATAGAGGAGTGAGCACAGATATGCATCTTGGGAGTGATGGGCGCTGTGGAAGAACTCAGGTCTGGCCTGCAGGAGCCGGTGTAGACCCCGTGGCCAGGTGGGTCTCCTTTTGCTTAGGGTGCTGCAGCTCAGACACTTCCTAGTGCCATGACAAGGCACTGTGGATTTTTATCCGTGGGAGTAGGGTGACAGAATTGTCCTTTCAGGAGCACAGGTGTCTGGGAACGTTTCAGAAGACGTAGATTACAGGGCCTGCCATGCGGTCGACTGTAAGAAAGGCATCTTCCAGGGCGAAGGCAGCGAGGCCAGCGTGGAGGAGCTGGGTCGTCTGGGTGTGATGTAGTGTGCGAGCTGGGGGCGCCTTGCCCTCCCGCCTCCCCGGAGGCTGACCGCCCCCTCCCCGTCCCCAGCACTACACTGATGGTTACGTGACCATTCCTGGGGCTTTGGCACATCAGCCCTTGTCTCCAAAGGCCTTGGTCCCGGGGTCTAGGACAAGTTTGTCATCTCTTTGTTTGCAGTGTTGCATAGGCCAGGGTGGACTCCTTGTCTTCTGAGTGATTCCATTTACGGCATGGGTTCTTAATCTTCCTGTGAAAAGAAGCCTTGTTCTTTATTTTCCTAAGGTTTTATGATCTCAGGGAATGGAAACAGTTGAGGTTGTGCTAACATTAAGTCACGGGGGAGGGGATGGGAGTAGAGGTATTTGCCCAGACCCCTATATAAGAAGGGGAGTTAGAGCGGATTGGAGTTAGGAGGGGGACTGCTCCCACTCCCTTCTGAGCATCATCTGGGCTGTTCAAAAGGGCAGGTGGCAGTGGCCTTAGCTTTGAGGCCAACCAGGTAAAGGGCTAGTGGTTAGTTAACATTTCAGCCTTTGGGGAACTTGTTATAAAAAAATGTAACCCAGATTTATGAGTTCATTTTTTATTTCTGGAGAAACGTATATATTGGCCAGGTGACCTGAGGAAGGCAGGCCAGAGGCATTTGGAGAAGGTAGAGCTGGGATGGGTGAGTACCAGAAAGCCTCAGAGTGCCATAGATAACACGGGAGTGTCGTCCGACGGACTGTCCAGGCGGGTATTCCTGATGTGTCTGCCTGTCCTTAAACTAGACCTTGACCGACTCACCTGTACCTGCCCTCATATCCGCCTAAGATCTCACCTCCCCAACATGAAGCCTGCCGGGCAGTGTCTTTCATCACTGAGTTCTGGGATGGGGGTGCAGCTTTCCAGCCTCCCCAGAGAAGGAGGTGCAGGAGCAAGGCCTGGGGAATAAATGAGGCCAGGTGGTCCCTTCACTTTTTCTGTCTGAGACGAAAGACGAGGAATGATTATGATCTTTTCTGGTCCTTTTCAGGGTTTAGTTTAGTTTGCATTCTTAGAGGTGTTTAAAATTAGAATTCTGAAGTTTTTTCTTTAACATCATGTCTCCATATCTATTCTGATGTGATATTGTTTTACCTTTCATTTGATGATGAAAAAATTTTAAAATCAAGCAAAAACTGGGGGATTTAAATGTCACGTTTCTGCCACCTCCTCCCAGAGTGGTTTTCAGTGATCGGTTACAGTGTGTGTTCTGTGAACTTTTGTCCCAGAGAAATGATGATATAAAATGTAGTTAAGTTCAGGATCCGTGTTCTCACTGAGCCGTAATTCTGATATTTCAAATCTTAGTACTGCTTTAGGCACGGTGAGCCCTTTATTTAACCAGGAGGATACTGAGTAAGCTTTTTTTTCCCTTCCTTTTGAAAAGTTAACAGATGGCCTCTGGCAAAAACTTAAACTAAGGTGAAGTTGATCTCAGTTATCCACACATGGCCCTTTTTTGGTATTTTTGGTCTTCTACTTCCGCCTGAATCTCTCCCTGTGGCTCCTTCACAGAAATGTTCCTTTGTCCCCAGAATGCTCGGTTCTAAAACCACCCTCCTCTTCCTTTGTCTTCCTCTTACTCAAAATCCCGTTCTCGCGGGGCCGGGGAGATCAGCCAGGTATCTGGGGGAAAGTAGCCTAAATAGAGTTTTTTCAACTCCTAAAAATATATATATTTATTAATTTCTTTCTATTTATTTTGAGAAACTTCTTTTATGTACCAAGTTCATATACACCCCACCCACTTCCATTGCCACATGTTTATCTCTTATTTTCTGACCTGGATTTCGGTTTTGTTGTTATATGGTATTTTCTAATATCTGACACACAGATCTTTCTTGTGGATTTCTGTTTTTAATCTTTCTTGATATTCTAGTCCGTGGTTTTCAAACTTTGTTGTGTATTAGAATCACCTGGGGAGGTTGGTAAACGTCAAGGCCCAGGTCATATTCAACTTCGGTGAGCCTGGACCTCTGTTTTCAGTTGACTTCCTGGTGGTTCTAATACCAGCGTTTAAGAACCACTGCTCAGATCCTTGCCACTCTCACGGGTTCGTGGATGGACCAGCGCCATGACGTCACCGGGCGTCAGAACGGCAGCACCTCAGTCTCCCTAAGAATGAACGACTGCATCAGACTGCATTTGGACCGGGTCTCCAGGAGAGTCCGCTGCTTGTGAATGTTTGCAGAGCAGTGCATTGGGCCCGCCCGGGAGGCTCGGAGAGCAGGAAGGCCTGGGTCTGGCTGGAGAGATTCTGATGCCATTGATGGGTTTGGGTTGGGGGCCGAGACGGAGATTGCTTTTAAAGTTCCCTGGGCGATTCTAACAGACAGCCAAGAGAACCACTGGTAGATTCTAGAACAAAGCTTCCCCACTGCCTTGCCATGGGAAATGGGGTGTAGGTGTGTGTCTTTCCCCTCCGCTCTTTAGGGGCTGGGCGGGGCCACAGGAGCGGCCACGGCGACCACAGCTCCCTTCTGGGCAGGGTCACTTTCTGAGTGGGTCACTATATGAACACTATCAGGAAGCATTGCTTGAGAATTTTATTTAATCCTCACCAGAGGATATTTTTTCATTGATTTTTAGAGAGTGGAAGGGGGGCGAGGGAGAGAGAGAAACATCAGTGTGAGAGAAACACATCAGTTGGTTGCCACCAGTATGACCCCAACCGGGGCCAGGGATCGAACCTGCAACCCAGATACCCGCCCTTGACTGGGAATCAAACCCAAGACCCTTTGGTCTTCGGCCTGACACTCCAACTGCTAAGCCAAACTGGTCAGGGTGAGGATATATTTCTTTTTTTATTGACTTTTAGAGAGATAAGAAGGAAGAGAGAGAGAAATACTGATGTGAGAGAGAACCATCGATTGATTGCCTCCTGTATGTGCCCTGGCTGGAAATTGAACCCACCACCTCCAGGGGACAGGACAGTGCTCCAGCCCACTGAACCACGTGGCCAGGGCTGCTTCATAATTTTTTAAATCAATTTTTGAATGATTGTGTTGAGTGGAAATTTAAGATTCTTTTTTCGAAAAGTCAAGCTTTTAATTTAAAAAATGTATCAAATAGAGACATGAACTTGGACATGATTGCTGTCTTTATAATACATAACTTTCGCATCCATAAACATCATCTCTTCATTTTTCAGGTTTTCTTGTATACATTTCCATAAGGTTTTCTAATTTCCTTTCTTTATAAAGCTGTGTATTTTATATTAGATTTGTCCCAAATAATATTTTCAAACAGTGCTTTATTGCCACTATGACAGTTTTGAAAGAAATACAAAGAGTTTTATGCCTTTTCTCTAGCCTTTTCTCTGTTTTAGTACTTTCTCCCGAGTCTCTGCTCTCTCCTTCCCCTTTGACTTTGTTGCCTTCTTTTGTTCAGCAGTTATACAATAGCAACCGAGGCCTCGTCTGCCTCAGGGTTTCATGCTGGGGTCATCTCCCTGTCCCACTGGCCTTACTTTCCACTTCTCAACTCACAGACACCCCCACTCCCCACCCCCGCCCATAAACATTACCCTGTCTCTTGTGGCAACAAGCTTCCAGCCTGCTGGGGCTGTGCAGGCTGATGGATATTCTTGAATTGGGTTCTTAAAGTAGGTATTGACTCCTGCTATGTACCTACTCATCTGGGTCTACAAATACTTCAAGAAACTGAGAAATAAGCGTAAGTAGAAAGTGTTAATTCCTGCCCACTGCTCTGCATGACTTGGTTCTTCTGGTTCTTGAGCTGAATAAAGAGGTCTGTCTGTGGTAGACGTATCAAAGGTGTGTCTCCACCATCACCCATACTCACCTGTCCCGCTTCCCAGCCACCAGCCTCATCCCATCCCTAATTCTCCGCAGGCCAAGAGATGCTTTCGTGTCGGGTCCTTCATGGAAGAGTCGGCCACATTCATTCACCTGAATCTGAGACTGTATTGTGCACCAAGCACTTGAAATCCGGGGATGGAGTATAATTGCCTTCTAAATTGTTTCCTTGCCTTTTGACCCCCTCCAATTCTTCCTCCATTGTGTTGCCAGAAGTGGTATTTTTAAAAAGCACGGTCTGATCATGTCTTTCCCTTGCTGAGTCTGGTCAGCGGGACTCGGGGCCACAAGGTCGACGCCAGCTTCTGAGAAGCGTGCTCCGCGCCTCACCTCCCCGCCGCCGCTGCGGGTCCCTCAGTCTGCCGTCCTGGACTTCTGTCCGCCTGGCACACTTTTCTCTCTGACAGCCTGACTCCGGTATCGCCCCTGGGGAAGCGTCCTGAATTACCCTAGTTCAGGTTCATTTCTCCTTCCCCGAGACTTGATACACATGCCTCTGTCTTCATTCATTTGTTCAGCCAACACATATTATTGAATGCTGCGACTGCGGGCTGTTCTCAGTGCTGGGGCTAGAGCAGTAAGTGAGCCACACGGGGCCACTGCCCACAGAGAGGGGAGCCAGTAATGAATGAGGAGGAGGAGGGTTTCAGATAGCGGTAAGTGCTCAGAAGGAAACCAGACAGCAACGGGATGGGGGCTGGGTAGGCTTGGAGCCAGTGGACAGGGAAGTCGTCTGAAAGAGCTGAGCTCGAATGGTTGGAGCCAGCCTGGAGCATCTGGAAAGGGGCTTTCAGTGCCAGGAAAACAGCACCTGCCAGTGCCCTTAGGCAGGGAGAGCGTTGAACTTGAGCTCCGGGGGAAGGCTGGCCTGCGAGGCTGGAGCAGAGTGAAGGAAGTGCGGCCTGTAGGAGATGAGGTCAGAAGACAGCCGGGTCTGAAGGCGGCTGGCCTGTCCACTGTGGTCTGGATCTCACTCACAAGAGCAGCGGGGAGCTGTTGGAGGGCTTGGGGCAGGGATCTGTGTTGTAAGGTGAGCCCTGCCTGTTGCACGGGGCTCACTCAAGTGTCGGTCTGGTGGGCTGAGCTGTGAAGGGTAGGGACTGCGACTCTCTAGCACCCAGTCCCAAGTGCTGTTGGTAAACATTTGGGGATTTAATGGACAAACGATCCATGTTTTCTTTTGATAAGCTCTGTGTAAGTGGTTGAGTCCTTTGCACCATGTGAATAATAAGTAACGTTTTTGATTTAGTAAAATGTGATCATTCTGGTGCTAGGACACACCCCACGCACAAGGAGATGTCACAGACCTTTTCAGGACTCTGCAGTGTTATATTCTGGATATTCTTTCCGTCTTTGAAATAGTAACCCAGGAATGTTAAATAGAATCGCAGTGACCAGAAAAGAATGAAAAGCGGTGACATTTAAAAAATGAAACAATAAGTAGGCAGTAAGTCAGGTACAGATGTAACATCGCAGTGGCGTTTGTTCTCAGAACGGGGCTAGCTGAAGTTCATGTCACCCAGGGTGCAGGGAGGTAGGAGCAGGGGGTTGGTAGGAAGCAGTCGTCTCCTGACCATTTGGCTTTCTTAGTTCGATATAAGGGCAGTTATATAGTTTAAAGTTCATCCTCTTCACTTTCATACTCTTGGAAAATATAGACCACCTGAGACGTATTGTTTCTCCTTAACTGTACAATAATGCCACCTTGTGTTTTATGTAATTGACTCCTTTGGGCTCAACTTTACAGTGGGCTTTTACTATAGTTGGTATTTTTTTTTTTTTTAAGAGAGAGAGGAAGGGAGCGCGAGAGAGAAACATCGATCAGCTGCCTCCCGCATGCCCCCTACTGGATATTGAGCCCACAACCTGGACATGTTCCCTGATCAAGAATTGAACCAGGACCTCTCAGTCTATGGGAACGACGCTCAATCCACTGAGCCACACCAGCTGGGCTACAGTTTGTATTTTTCTATTATAATTTATATCTCTAGATGACAGGCATTCTCTGTTGAACCCAGAGTTTTTTTCAGAATCAGTTGGAAACATTTATCTGTGTCTCATTAAATAAAGCTATACTTGAAAGTGTCCGGCGGTGAGAACATTCAGCCCAGTAGACGGGCTCTATTGGCATCATAGTGCCTACTTGTAAGAAGGAGTTTTTCTCATTAATGATTTCCCCACACTCACTTAAAAGTTACTCTTCATACAGACTGACATCCCTCAGAAGAGGGAGTTGGGGGGAAGAGATAAACCACAGAACTTATATGCATGTACACATAACCCATGGACACAGACAACAAAGCTGGGGACAGAGTGGGGGGCGGATGGGGAGGCAGTTGTCAATGGGGAAAAAAGGATAAACATCTGTAACAAAAATAAATTAATAAAAAATAAAGTTAAAAAATAATAAAGTTACCCTGCAGATAATAGAGGGTTTAAAACGTCATATACCAAGCAGTTTGGACTTCTTTTTCAGTTGTAAATATTTTTCTCTGCAGGGACTTCAGCAACACAGAAACACTGTGTAGTGAACAGAAGTATTATTGTGAAACGTGCTGCAGCAAACAGGAGGCCCAGAAAAGGTGCGTGAAGGGTGTAGCTCAAGAGGGTGGCTTTGTGTCCTGCGGGGGAACCAGCCTGGAGCCTGACAGATCTGATTTTGATGGGCCTATGGCCAAGTAGCTTTGGAGAAGTCAGTTACCTTCCTCCCTGGTAAAAAACTAGGACAGGAATGCCTACCTTAGAGAGTTGTTCATCATCTGATTGTTTGCTCATTTGTTTGTCATGCATTCATGCAACAGATGTTTATTGAGTGCTACTGTGTGCTGGGTAAACAAGCGGTGATCAAACACAATCACCATCATCTTGGGGGACTATAAAAAGGACTTAGTGTAGTTCATAACATAAAATTGTCGCCCAGGAACATTGTTAGTATTGCCCAAGTATTGGAGCTTCTTTTTATTTTTTATTATTATTTTTTTATCCTCACCCGAGGACATTTTTCCATTTTTTGCACAGATAGAGTGGGAGGGAGAGAGAGAGAGAAACATCGATGTGAAAGGGACACATCGAGTGGCTGCCACCCGCACGACCAACCAGGGCCGGGGACAAACTGCAACCGAGGTACATGCCCTTAGCGGGAACCGAACCCGGGACTCTCTGGACCGCAGGCCGATGCTCTAACTGCTGAGCCAAACCGGCCAGGGCCAGCTTCTTTTTATTTTTAATTCTCACCCAAGGGATATGTTTGTTGCCTTTAGAGAGGAAGGGAGGGAGGGAGGGAGAGACATCCATTGGCTGCCTCCCGAACACGCCCCAACCAGGGATCGAACCCGAAACCTAGGTATGTGCCCTGACTGGGAATCAAACCCATAACTTTTGGTGTATGGGACGACGCTTCAACCAACTGAACCACCTGGAGAGGGCAGAACTTCTTTATTTTTATTTATTTATTTTTCTTTATCGATTTTAGAGAGGAAGGGAGAGGGAGAGATAGAAACATCGATGAGAGAGAACATTTGACTGGCCGCCTCCTGCACACCCCCCACTGGGGATCAGGCCCAAAACCTGGGCATGTGCCCTGACCGGGAATCGAACCGGGGACCTCTTGGTGCATGGGTTGATGCTCAACCACTGAACCACATTGGCTGGGCCAGAACTACTTCTTTAGAAGATAAGAGGTTAAAAAATTATTTAATAAGGAATCATGAGGAAATCAATAACACATCAGTTACATGCATAGCTGATAAGAAAGTTATCTGAATTGATGTAGGACCCAAGGTTGCCCCTCTTTTTAAACCAGCACCAGTCAGCCAGTTATAGCTCTTGGACAATCTGAGATAATCAGTGATTCCCTGTTATTTTTCCCCAGAAACCAAGAAACTTGACATTTTAATTATCCTGTGAAATCTCACTGTGAGTTAAATTGACCCGCCCATGCTTGTGGAATGTTCACAATAAGTCATAGATGCTCGTTACTGCCGTCTAAACCCTCAGGGGTCTGTGGCTGAGGACAAAACCATTTCTCTGCCCAGCCTCCCAGCCCTTCTCCCCCAGACACGCTCACCTTTTCTTGCTGCTTTGAACCTTACAAAAGGCTAGTCCTGTGGCAGGCGGCGTGGAGGTGGCAGGTCGTGCGCCCTCGCTGGTGGTGAGGGGCGCTCACCTCCGCTCCATCCGTGTACTCGGTCAGCCCGGGCTTTCTGTGCGGCATGGAGGTGTTTTCTGCTCAGCTCTGGAGGTCTGACACATTAAAATGTCATAGGCTCCTATAAAATATGGGGTTCCCCATAGTTCATATGTTTATGCTGATGTTGTTTTGCTTATTTTTTATGAAAGGGTTTACCTTAATTGATTCCTGAATAATAGTCTCTTAAAATTTGTCCTTTTCAAATAATATGCATCGAAAATGTGCACAAGCTGAGCAGAATTTACACTAGTTCAGGACATTCGTAGATGGAGGTCCTGGAAGGTGACTGGAAGATTTCTAGTCTAGAAGTGTTAACTCTATACACTCCCGTCTTTGTGACTTTCTACCAAGGAATATTACTGGCCATCTAGTGAAGAAAGCTTTTCCGTTTATGTAAGTTTAGGGAATGCTGCATCCAACAACAGAACAATTCCTTTTCTGCGGACTTCCCAAAAATCTCAGTGCTCCCGATGCAGGGAGGAGCTTCAGAGTAGAAAGTGGCCTTGTCCGAATGGCCACAGACACCCCACATCTATCAGCATGTCCAGTGCGCTCATGAGCCTGGTCTGGGACATGGAGCCTGAGCCAAGCCCTGCTTCTCATGAACGAGGAAACGGAGCCAGGGAAGGGGAGTCACCTGCCCAGGAGCACAGGGGTGGGGGTGAGCCTGGCACGTCTGGGCCTGATGCCAGCGGCTCGCGGTGTCCGAACATCTCCGCTGGTCCCCGGAACCTGGAGGTCCAGAGCACACCTTCTGCTTGTCCTCTCCCCGACTTCCTTTTCCCAGAGCTGGCACCCCTCCTCGCCATGATCTTGTGAAGGGGTGGGGGGGCTGCCCCAGTACTTCCTCCCTGGGCGGCGAGGGCAGCGGCAGAGAGCAGTTGTGCGCCCTACTTCTGTTGGTGCAGAAATTCAGGACTCCGGGCTCCCTGCCGCGTCCTGTGGCGTCACCACGCTGCAGTTAGCGAGGATTGGGTCGGTCAGCTCTCCCCAGCAGGCAGGCTTTTATTCTTGGTTTGGTCATTTGCGGCGGGTTCGACCCCTCCTGCTCTCCATTTGTGCAGGACACAGTGGCCTCTGTCCCCCCGATGGGTCAGGTACAACTGATTTCCTATTTCACGGTTTCCTAGGATGAGAGTGAAAAAGCTGCCCATGATTTTGGCCCTGCACCTAAAGCGGTTCAAGTACATGGAGCAGCTGCACAGGTACACCAAGCTCTCCTACCGGGTGGTCTTCCCGCTGGAGCTCCGGCTCTTCAACACCTCCAGCGACGCTGTGAACCTGGACCGCATGTACGACCTGGTGGCAGTGGTGGTTCACTGTGGCAGGTAAGGGCAGGCGGGCGGGGCGCTCAAGGGAAGTGAGGGCCATCCTGTGCCGAAATAGACCCCGCTGGACCTGCCTGGCCTGGGCTGTGAGGTTCAGCAACCATGGGACTTTTTGGGATCTCTTCCAAGTTCTTGTTTCTGTGTCATCTCCAAAGAAATATAAACATACCTACATACACACACAAAATAAAACCACATTATAATAAGGTAATCTAAATGTTCTATCACAAGGAAATGGTAACTCTCCATTGGTTATCAATGATGCGTGGGAGGAGTTTGAAATTACATGGAGGCATAAATGCTTATGCTATCATTTTCATTTTTTAAAAGCCAGGTTACATATTACATGATTTCAAAAGTATTTTAAGTTGTATGAATAAAGACTGGAAGCCATAGATCAGAGTTCATAATTTTTTGGCATTTGAATGATTGAAAATGTACTTTTCAGTCCTTTGCTCAACATTCTGTAAGAAGTACATGATCGGGCCCTGGCTGGTGTGGCTCACTTGGTTAGGTGTCGCCCATGCACTGGGAAGTTCCCAGTTCGATTCCCAGTCAAGGGCACGTGCCGAGGCTTTGTCCTCAACCCCCGTACAGAAGGCAGCAGATCGCTGTTCCGCTGTCACATCGATATTTCTCTGTCTCTCCCTTTCCCTTCTCTCTCTCTAAAAATCAATAAAAACATATTAAAAAAAGAAAAAAAGAATGATCACCACACATCCATCACCTCACCTAATTACCATTTGTGTGTGTGGTGAAAACTTTAAAAAAAGAGCAGAGCAAAATCTTTTTTTCTTTTCTTTACATAGAAAGAAGAGAGAGTAGGAGAGAGATAGCCCCTAGACACAGAAAATCAAACCATTTTGCTGAAATTCCTTTGATCAAATACTTTTTATTCCATAATTTGCAGATGTCTAAGCAGGAAAAGTGTACTGAGAATTCACCTCTTGTTTTCCTTTGCTCGGCAGGGCCGGGTGTATGTTCTCTTCCTGGGGTGGGCACAGCCTGCCCTGCCCTCAAAGATTTTAGATTGGGACATGCCACAGAGCAGGTGTCTTCCCCTCCCTCTGCCCGGATTGGGTTGTGGTGGACAGACCATTACCGAGAGTGTGTACAGTTCCACATGGAGGAATGGTGATGTGTTTTTAACCCTGTACCTGGGTGGATGGCATCAGGAACTGTAACTTCACATATGCAGCACCTGCTTTGTCCTGCGCATATTAAATAGCTTTACGTCACTGGCTATTTATGTTCTCAGTAAGTTATATTTATCGGCCAGTTAACAGCCAGCTTTGTGTTTTCCTTGAAGAATAGTTCTAACAGTTATTTTTTTAAAGAACCCAGGGGTCCAGTGATCTGGAAGCTAGCCAGGAACACTGGGTGGGACCCCGGCAGGGGTTGGAAAGAGGTTTTGGGGAGACAGAGCCTGGTACCTGGAGGGCATTGAGGCTGACGCGGGCGGTGTGGGCAGGTGATGGGGAAAGGGAAGCGCTCAGATGTGTAGGACACACATGGGCTTTCAGTGTGGATCTCTGTGTGTGCCAACTCTGAACCCTGAGCGCTGGTGAGGACAAGGCAGACCCACGTAGGAGCCGGGGACAAGCGGGAGGCCGGGTTCAGAAACAGTCAGCTTCTGTGATGGGTGCACAGCCCTGAAGGTCAGAGCAGCCCCGGCAGCAAGGACGAGTTGGTGGCGAGTCACGCATGCTGCTCACTAGGACGCTTTAAATTCCTCCCAGCAGAGGTAGGATGGTTCTGATGCTGGTTCTGATGCGGGGAGCAGGGCTGGCTGGGGCACTGGCAGCTGTGCAGCTAGGGAGCTGAGCCCTCCTTCCCCACGCCAGGACCCCCCGGCTCACAGCTCGGGTGCACAGCCTCATTCTCTGACTTCTGCTGCAAGCATTCCTGAGCCCTGGTTTCCTGGGTTCCGGGCAGGATCTGAAGGCACAGCAGTGAAGCCGAGGATCTAGTGGGAAAGGTGATTAACAAGTAAAGCAGCCTGCCCCAACCCAGAGCAAACAGACCACTGCAGAGTCATGTATGATTCTGATTTGTGCTATAAGGCATGAGCAGGACGATGAGAGAGCAAGGGGAGGTGATTGGCAAAGATTTATCTACCTGGGTGACATTGTAGCTGAGGCCTCAGAGATATCACGCACCAAGAATGTGAACACTGGGGGAGGGTCAATTAGGCAGTTAGAGCAAGTGCAAAGGGCCAACGTGTGAAGAGTGACGTGTGTGAAAACCAGAGAGACCAGCGGGCTGGAGCTCCGGGGGAAGAGTGGCTGGATGGGGTTGGAGAAAGACAGGAAGGGTTTGTGTGTGTCGCCTTGTGTTTAAAGAAAGCAAACACGGGGAAATCTAGCTTTTCAGCTTGGATGGTGCATTGAAAAGCAAAACAAAACAAAACTCTAGATTTAGGATTAAAATCCGTTCATTTGTATAAATCTCACTACATAGAAATAGCTGTTTCATTGTTCTTTTTTTTTTTTTTCTTACTATGTGATACGTACCTTTTTATTTTCTTGCTTGTTATTATGCATTGTGGTTTATTAAGATCTTTCTCAAACTTAGATCGTGTCGCTCAAAATTGCCATGTCTTCTAGGCTCACTCGCAGCAAGGTCCAAAATCTCAACCATGACTGATACCTCATTCCCTCGCTGGCCTCCTCCGCTCTGGCTCGCTCGGCTCTGGCCACCTTGCTCTTCCATGAACATGGCGAGAACTGTACCCCCAAGACCTTTGCACTGCTACTCCCTATTCCTGAGACTTCCATCTGATCGTCCCATGGCTTGTCCCCCGCCGCTTCCTTCGGGGAAATTTCCTTCTCATGTTCTCAGAGAGGCCTCCTGTCATCGCTTCGTATCAAAGGCTCCTTCCCTCTACACTCACTGCCGTCACTCTGCTTTATTCTTCATGGCACTTAGCACCCCTGGAAATATATTCATACTTTAGTTTGTTTACTGCCTGTTGAACCCCCGCCGCCCCGAAAGTGGGACTTGGTTTTGTTCATTGCTTTTTTTCCCTGACAGTCAGAATAGGATGTGGCACATGGTAGGTATACAGTGATTATGTGCTAATGTTTGTTGAGTTTGAATGTCTATTTTCCCCACTGGGCTGTGAGTTTCCAGTTAGGAGACAGATGTTTGTTCATCTTGGCACTCCCCGTGCCCGGCACGACGCCGGCGCCTGGCCCTCCTCCCTGTACTGGTCAGAGGAGCGCGGACATGGGCGTCACCGTGCCAAGTTCTCTGTCCTGATGATAGCGTTTTCCCCAGTGAACCGCTGCTTGTAAAGAGCTACCTGGAGTTTTATAAAGAGGTACATGTCAGTTAACTTGGTCACTTTCTCTTTTTTTGTTCTTTCCCAGTGGTCCCAATCGTGGGCATTATATTACTATCGTGAAAAGTCACGGCTTCTGGCTTCTGTTTGATGACGACATTGTAGAGGTGGGTATGCAGAGTGGTGTCAGCGGGGGTGGGATGGCATTGGGGAATGTGCAGGTGTGGACATTTTCCAAAATAGGCCTGTTTTCCCATAATTTGATTGTAAAACAACTTACATTTCTCTCAAAACTAAATTCTGCTGCTTCCTAATCTCTGTGGAAAGGGAGAAGGGGTGTGATCATGGACTTGTTTATACTGTATTCTTGTTGAGTGATCAGCCATAGATATGGGACCTTCATGCCACCATCAATCCTGTTTATGAGTTCTGTTTCCTAATGTGACTAAAGCTCTCTCTTGTACACACCAAATAATAAACTTCAAGGTTCTATTAAAATGATCTCATTATACCCAATTTTGGGGGGTATTAGTTATTAAAAATTTTATTTTTCAGTCTGTTGGACCTGGAAAATCTAAAACACCAAAGTCTTCCTTATGCTGATTTTGTTGTAAGGGAACAGTAGCTGGAGAGAATTCCACACTCAAAGACATGGTCTAGTTTAGCCACCAGGATAAAATGAAAGGGAATGAAAGGATCGAGGTGATTCCCCAGGCCCCCGTTTTACCATTTCAAAGACACAAGCCCTGCTTCTTCAGAGAGCGCCCACACATGGCTGCTGGTAGATCAAAGTGTGGCTTTCTTCCCCAGAGATTTGCAATTCATGCCCTGGTGTCCCTCTGCCAAGTCTGTGCAATTACCCGTATGCTATTGAAAGTGATTTTATAGCCAACAGTATTTCTTACATTTTTCTTGTGCATTCCATTAGTTTTTCTGTCCTTCTCCCAGTAATCATGTTAAACAAGTTTATTGTTTTATTTCTCTTTTATTGCAGAAAATAGATGCCCAAGCTATTGAAGAATTCTATGGCCTGACATCAGATATATCAAAAAATTCAGAATCTGGATATATTTTATTCTATCAGTCAAGAGAATAACTTAAAGAACTGTGGGACTAACTCAAGTGGGGGGAAGTGTTCAAAGCACTATTACCTGGATTCTCTGCAGACTTCCTCTTCCAGCAGCCCACCAATGGTATTATTCCAAGTCTCAGTGGTCTGGCTGTGTTAGATTCTCATTCTCTCTCTCTCTCTCTCTCTCTCTCTCTCTCTCCACATGCAGCACTATTCGTGGTTTTATTTTAGTCTGAGGTAGAGTTAACTGCAATCAGATTGTAGTAAGATTTATATGAATAACAGTTGCTAATTTTAGGATTGGGTAAATGCGTGCCACTGGCTATGTCTGAATTAGAATGACATTTCCTAGAATGTCTGCAGTCTATTCTGGGTCTTTGTTAAACTTCTTAAATGGTTTCCAGGGTCTCCTTTCAATGCATTCCTTTAACTGGTCCCTGGAAACATTGCTACCCATTTTTAGCTTCTTTGCCTCTTATCTGACAGAAGGACAGAAGAGTCGGGTAGATGTTCACCCTTAGGACTGCAACTATAGCTTTAAGTTTGTGCAGGTGAAATTGTTTAAAAGTGTGTTTAAAACCTCAGATACTGAAATCATCCTCCCGGTGGAACAGGGTGAAGAGCTGTTCATGGTGGCTAGCGTGTCCCCTAGGCTGTGCTCACCTAGCCTGTAGGATTCCCCGGGGCAAAGAGGTAGGGCGCTCAGGGAAGGCAAAGCCATGAGGAGGAAGCTTTCTTGGGGAGTGAAAAGTTACTTTTCTTATCTTTCTACCAAAACCACGTTTCAGGAAAATTAACTCCTTGCTGTCTGTTTTTAGTGACACTTTCTTCTGTAAGGTCCTGTGCGTTGTATCTATCTATCCTCTATCTGGCACTGCTAAGCTTTCCTGGGTATCTGTCCAGACCTGGCGTTCCGCAGTGTGGTGGCAGGGCTGGGACCCCACGGGACTGCCCCCAGCACAGCTCGAGCCAGGAGTACCAGCACCGTTCTTCCCGGAGAACGAAGGCACCGCCCTGCACCCCACCAGCTGCCCGGACAGCTGTTCCCTTGGCAGCAGCCCAGCCTGTTCGCGGGGCACTGGCAAGTCCCAGGGCTAACGTGGAGCTTCCCGAGGGAAGACCGCGGTCAGCTGGGCGTGAAGGTGGGTCGGAGGAAGTGCAGCGGGCGGCGGAGGACCGAGCGAAACAGCGGGCACAGGGCGTTTCTTTGGCTCAGGCTCCTAGAATGCTTGACAAGACGGAGTTTTTTGGAAGAACCTCATCTCACTCTAGTTACCTTTTTTTCACTTTTGTTGTATATGTATTTATTAGATCATTGGAGTATTGGTACCTTTTATTAAAAGGGTCGATGTGGTGTTTTGCCGTTGAGCTGGTTTCTGGTTTCCTACAAATACTGAGTCATAGACCTTCCTTCGGGAAGTCAGGTGACTTCCATACACTATGATATACTGTGAACACATGACTTTGTTACCTAATAAATCAGCAAATGAACATGCAGACGTTTGGCATAATGTGAACTAAAGTTGAATTTGAAAATGTTAGTGGCCATTTTGCAACAATTAAGAGCATAGCACTTTATCTAGATGAAAACTGGATTTCTTATCTTTGAACTATCGTGAACTGTTTATTGCTCAGAACTTAAATAAGCATGCCAACACTTCATTTGTTCATGCTTGAAGTGAAATGTTTTACTTTTCACTGGAGAAGACAAAACAGGGTGATCTTCACGTTATTGTTTTATACGAGTGACAAAGTATACCTTGCCTTGTCTAGAGGCAAATTCATATTTATAAATATTTTGTCTGTTTTTTTCCTCCATGAAACATATGCAGTAATCACTTACCGGGAAGGTAAGTTTTTATTCTGTTTTTAAGGAGAGACACTTTCCAATTGAAGGTGATTGATATAGGCAACTGTTTGTACTATATATAACCCATATATTTGACTGCAGGTTGCAAAGTTTAAAAAAAATGATGGTTGATATCTAATATATTTGGAACTGATTCATAAGAAAAACTATTAAAATTATCTTTGAAATGACTCTTGAAGCTAATTTATTAGAAAAATAATGTTTCATTTGGAAGCCTGTGTAAGTAAAAGCTAAATGCTAAGTCCTAATGCTTTTTTTGTTTTTGATGTGTAAAGTTGTTTGTTTTTTTCCCAGTGACTTAACTGAAGTAATTCCTTTTAATAGAAAGGGTCAGTTAAAATTCAGTATTCCTGGATAGATTTTTGGAATAAATAAGTATGGGAGATAATGCAAAGACGTTGAAATGGTCATGTGATGCAGGAAAAGAAGACTGGAAAAGGGTTTAGCACTCTTATCCTTCAGCACTGCATCGGGTTCTTAAATGTTAGAGCTACCTGGAAATTTCTTTCCTCTTCCTCTTCAATTTAAGAAACAAACACTAGGCAGCTACACCCTCGCCCCGGCCATTTCTCAGTATATAAAGACAGTAGCGTGCAAACACTTTTCTTTTTCATCCTTTATTCATCCCGCAAAGCAGAGACGGGTGGGATATGTGAGACCCTTCGGAGGTCAGTGACAGCACAAAGGCCCAGCAGCGCCCCCTCAGATGGCCAGGGTGTGTGTGTCATTTTCTGGCAGGAGTAAGGCCTGCTCTATTTTTTTTTTTTTTTTAATTTTTTTTTAGCGGCTGGGTATTGTAAAATAAGTTAGTGTTTTACACTTCAAAAGAGAAAAATATTTGCTTTCTTGGTCACTTACTGGCTAAGCATCTAGATAATGGTGCAGTGTGCTGAAAGCTCGTTTGTTTGAAGGTACATTTTGGTAAAATGCTGCCATCGGTCCTGGCACCTTGGTGCATTTCCCATCCCGAGGCTCGACCCGCGGCCTGGTCTGAAGGGAGCACAAGGGGGTGTTGGCTGGAATAGGAAGCCAGCTGGTTAGAGCCTGGTATATTTTGGATTACAGATGCAATGGGGAAAAAGCGACAGAAACGGTCCCTATGCATTTATTTTCGTGGATAAACTTAATTTCATGGGCATGACTAATAATGAACTAGGTTCTAACGGAAGCTTAGGGCTTATTTTAGATATTGGAGTGTAGCTTTATTACAGATGGACTTTATCTTTAAACATGGCATTTTGATCAACTTTGTATAGTCACGTGTATTAAATGTTTTGCCCCGTTTGCTGTCATATGGTCAAGACATTTATCAGCACTATTGTGATTCACTCATGTAAATGGCATGGGTCAGGGAAAATTACTTCCTACTTTCTGCCTAAGTAAACTTCTGTTTTCCAGTATTACATTAATTTATTTTTGGCTTCCATTTCTGTGTAACCAAAATAGTTACTCTGTGTGTGTGGCATTCATATGACTTTGTTGCTAAAAAAAACAAAAACAAAAACAAAAAAATTTCATTTTTTATTTAAGATAATCTGTACCTTAATTTTAAAAAATGTAACCAATTCAAGCACTTTAAGCAATAATGTCAATCTTGTGAAATTTCAATCAGTTTAACACCCTGCCTCTAAAATTGTTTGCAAAAAAAATAAATAAATAAATGGAATAGGAATTCTCTTCCTAGAGAATTATATCTGGGTAATGTTATACACGTAAACTTTAAATCCCTTTTATAAAAATGTGAGTTGTGGGAAGTCTCATAGGACTGGAATAGGTAGTTATTCCGGACTTAATTTCAAAGCAGTGGAAATGTAAAGAGCATCCTGGTCATTGTAGTAGATCAAGGCAATGCTACTGCCAAGGTTGATAACGGGGGTGTTCTCGATGTAACGTACTACTCTTTTTTTAGTGAAAAGGCAACAGAATCCAGAAATCTGTATGGGGGAATAGCAAATTGCCTATCAGTGAAAACAAAGAGTGAGGGGTAAGTACTTAGGCATCACAATGAATTGCTCAGCTGGGACTTTGCATATTAAGTCTACCAGTTCGGAAATAAAAGATTTGTGTCCCCCCCCCCCCCAAAAGGAAGTGGCTCCAGCCCAGCCCATCAGCACCTGGATTCTAGGAAAGAGTAGGATGCTGTGCTGACCCTGGTGCAGACAGCCAGGGCCCCGCTTCTGGGTGGCTTTTGAGCTGTGGGGACCCCTGCCTGGGTGCAGTGGGTGCAGTGGCCTGCCAGAGGGGGGCAGGTGAGGTCCATGTCCCATGGTCTCATAGTTGGCCTTCCAGAGCCAAGACACTCTGTGAACATGCCCAAAGCGTTACCCCCAACCAGTCAAGGGGTCCCTGTGTGGGTAGGGGTTGTCATCTAACGCATTTGCTTGGGCCCAGTTATGGAAATACAGACACACAGACCAAGAGCAGGGCAGCGTGCCTTTAAGTCTCACAGTTTCCATCCATTTCTCTCCGGACGCTTGGTGAAGCGAAGGCTCTTCGCGCTAGAGCTGGTCTCCAGCTGCACCTGACAGCTGAGCAGGCTTGCTGGGGGTCACGTGTCCGCCCTGAAGGCCAGAGGGAAGGGGCCTCGAGAACGCGTTTTTCTAGGTCTCCTTTTGTTACCTGGCAAATGGGGTTTATAGGAGAGGCCTGTCACCACCAGCATGACACGATTTCTGGGCAGTGAGAACTGTTCCCCATTTCTCGAAACTTCCCTCCGGCTGTGATCAGTGATACTTAACCCTTTAACAGGCTCAAATCCTCCATGTCCATTGCCTTACATTTTCACGAAGACAAATATGTGCAAAGTATTTTTTTTTCATGAGGGGTATTTTTGATTGTGGGGACAACACTAAAGGAAAACCATTTAGACTTGGTCCAGAGGTGCCCCAGTGGAGAGAGGTTCAGTGAAGCAATGTTGTAGCACCTCCTAGACTTCAGGCACTGTGGTTGGAGTTAGGGGATGCAGCGGTGACGCCGACAGGACCCTCTCAGTTTCATGCTTCAGGGGAAAGAAAAGTCTGGGGCAAAGAAATGTAAATTGTGGGAATAATGTCGGGGGGGAGTTCACAGTGTGGCACAGTTGGGAATTTGGCCTGGGTCTTCCCCGGCAGATGGGTGTGAGTCAGACGGGTACCGATAGATGAAGCAGGCCGGTTCCTTTCCCTCTTGGACCCACTTCTTGCTCCCTGCCTTCTCTCGGCGTTGCCTCAGCTTGTCCTTCGCTCCTTCTAGGGAACACACAATTTTTCAGATGCTGTATAAATCCGTTAACGTTGCAGCAAAGGACTGGATCATCTTGCCTCTTGGTTCTCATGTCAAATGAGCCAGAGTATTGTAAGTCTTAACAGTGGCTTTTGTGAATCAAATATCTAAGCAGTTTCTTTACATTATTACCAAATAATTAGCACCAAAATCAGGGCATGAGAGTTTTTAAGCTATGTGGCTTTTGTTGGCTTATCCCTTTCTGGGTTCCCTTATGTTTCAGCCGTGCTTTGAACAAAGCACATTAGCTTTACAGACAAATGAAAAATAACTTCATTTTGGTTATGAGACACCAGAGTCAGAAGTGACTAGATTTTTATAACGAGGATTCCTACTTTTGTGCCCATTTCCCACATGGTGATTCATAATAAAGTATTAACAACCTTAGGTATCATGTTCACCTAAGTTCCACGGATTCATCTTTTTTCTTCCTTGATTCCCCCGGCGTGAGTGTGCAGGCTGTGTGAAGGCGGAGTGGAATTCGCGGCAACCCTCGTGGGACGGGCCGGGCCCTTGTTGAGATCCTCCTTTGTTCTTACCTTCTCGGCACAGTGTTGAGCTTGCAGCAGAAAACTGAGACTTAGATTTGACTTGGCCGAAAGCAAAGCATTTGATGATTGAAGCCACCAGCTCTCTGTTTAACCAGTCCTTCTTTGGTCCAGGTCAACTGGAATTGCAATTCTGAGTCGTCCTTAATGGGCCTTGCCTGCTAGAACACCCTGTGCTGAGACAACTGGAAATAAACACGAGAACAATGTGCAAGTGAGCAGCCTTCACACCGTCTGCAGCAAGCTACGCTCTTCACTGGGGAGCTCGGCTCCAAGTGGACAGTTGCTCCTTTTCCAAGAGAAAAGATAGAAAAATAGTCTGTGGTGGCTTAACAGCACCTGTGTGAAAAGACTCATTCTATTGTCCTCCCTTGCATCCCCACCCCTAGAATGAATTTTTTGAAGAGATGTCACTTCTGCAAAGCAGTAAGTATACACTGCTGGCCGAGGTGTGTTTGGTGTCCCCCGTGGACGTACAGGGCTGCAGCAGAAGTCAGGGTGAAGGTTGTAGAGTGGAGAGAAACACGTCCTGGGTGTTCATTGGTAGACCTATGTCTTTAAATTTTGTCATCTAAGGAATGGTGAAGGTTTATAAGGTAGGGCCTCACCACAGGGTCTGTCCTTAGATGGGAATTTGTACGGAGGGGCGGGGTCTCAGGAATAAGAGGAGGGGAATCAAGATCCTTCTGACATCACTACTCAGCTTCCAGCCCTGGTCTCACGCAACCCTGGTGCACTTGCCCTGCAGGGTTAGAGGGGCCCCAGTGAACCCCACGAATGCCTTTAGCTGATTGGTATGCAGCCTATGTATTCTGTGCTCTTTGTGGTCACCCTAACCTTGACCTCTGATAGGAGAATTTTAGACTCAGTTACATAGTAGCTTCTGAAAACTACTGGACTTCATCCAGGTTCCAGTGTGGGCTGGTCACTGGCTGGTGCCGTGATCAGCATGTGGGGAAAGCAAAAGGTCAGGAGGCATGAATTCAGATCCTGACTGGCTTCCCGGGTCTATGGCGTTAGAGGTCTGCGATCTATAAGTCAGATGTCAGACTTAATCAGTTAGGGTTAGGGTGCTAATTAGTGGTGCTTGGCAAAGGGGCTCTTCTGCATGGGTCCTTGAG